TCTCTAAAACGTCTAATAAATTGGAACAGATGGAGAAATAACTAAATTATTAACAATTCATTAATTTGAGTAAAAAAATTTAAATTCCTTTAAATAGAGATTTATACTAACAAAATTTTAAATATAAATATAAAAAAAAAAGGTAAAAATATGACAAATTTGCTACGTTGAGTGCAGTTGGCCAGTTGCACATGACCAAAGAAAGAAAAGCATCAAATCATGTAAGGAGCACAAAGACATCCAGAATTTGATTGCATTTTGCCCGTTCGAAGTCATCATGACTCACGACGGGCGTGGTTTTTTTTTTTTTTTTAATTAAGTTTTTAATATCTACTAATTATATTGAATTTTTATTACTTTAAAATAAAATTACATCGTATCTTATAAAAAAAATTTTATATTTATTTTTTATTAATAAAATTTAAATTTAAAATTTTATTTAAAAATATTTTTTTATTTAAATCAATATGTAATTGGTGAGGGACCCGCTTAGCATCGAACAAAAAAGTTGATATGATAACATCAATGTTCCACAGTGCTGGGAAGAACAATTTTATGTTACCATCAATATTTTTCGTGCGAGAATATCCACACCTGCAAGTTGCGACAACAACTGGCCCCACCTACCGCCCACCATTTTCTCTTTCACCACGTGTCAGGTCAAAAATGGGTGTCGCCTGCGTATGTTCCACAGTGCTGGGAAGAACAATTTTAGCTGGCATCTCATTCGAATATCTAGTAAAAAAAGGTTAAAACCACAGTTTGGTCCTTGAACTATTATATGAACCTTTGATTTAAACTCAAAAAATCACTAATTTGATCTTTACTGTTTACCATTTTTATTTCGATTTGGTCATTCTGTTAATTTTTCACGTTAATTGACAGCTATATACAAAGGAAACATTACATGTCATGCAAAAAATTACCAAGTTGACAAAAAAATGACGTAGTCATTCCAATTCATCCCACCAAAAAATTTTTTTTTTTTCATTCTTCTCTTTCGTCTACCTTTTCTTCAACTTCTGCAAGCCCTCTACAAATCCTAAGATCTCAACCAATCTATTCATTTCAATCAATTTCTACTCTTATTAAGTTCATCATCATCATCATCAAACAATAAAACTTACTAAAAAAACAAAATTTTATTTAAAAATTTTTTGCCCATTGATTTTTTTGAACCCAGGCATGCTGGAATCAATCGAACCAGCAGCACCCTTTCTTTCTCCTTCCACTTCCTTACCTTGCCTTCTTCATCAATCAACTATTCATCTTCATCAATCAACAAAACCTAGAAAAAAAAAAAAAAACTCAAACCCAAAAATCCTGAGATCAAAGGAACCCGGGCCTAGGTTCCAACCTAGCAGCACCCTATCTTTCTCCTTCCACTTCTTTACCTTCTTCATCTTCATCATCATCAATCAACAAAACCCAAAAAAAAAAAACACAGAACTCAAACCCAAAAATCTTGGGTTCAGTGGAACCCAGGCGCATTGGGTTCCTTGAAACCCAGCGACTAGGTTCGAAGGAACCCAAGCACGCTGGGTTCCACCGAACCCAGCGGCTGGGTTCGAAGGAACCC